CTTTGACCTCAAGACATCATTCAGGAATATATCTCGTTTAGTTTAATCCGTAGTGAGTAAAGTAAGATGATAGCTACTCTAACATTTTTTTGTAATCATGACTGTTTCTATTCAAAAGATGAGGATAATGTTGCGTAGAGCAACAAGAAAATAGTGAATGGTTTGATTGGAAAAAAGTGGCCGTTCTTATGACAGTCATGATCTTGAAGATTCATACGGGCAAGGGGGCTCAAATGGGTCCAGACTTTGACCAAGCGTTCTATAGGGTGAAATTCCATTAATTAGGCAGTAAGAGGTATCAAATCATGCACCACTAACCTAATACTGACTCCTATTTACTGCAGTATGGAGAGGCGCAGATTCACACGGTTGATCCAGAGGACAGTATACTGACGCACAGTACGTCCGCGTTTTTCACTGGAACATTTGGAATGTGGAACATATATGTCCTACTGTTACTTGCCATGTATGCACCGTCACATAAAAGTTACGCTGGTGCAGAAGGTGAGCAACTCCTTGTTGAATTCACTTCTTATTGGGCAGTTTTGGAGCGGAAATTTGCTTTCAAAGGGAATTTGCACACGCTGATAACGAATTCCGAGGAATTTCTGCTGTTTTGTGAAATACAAGTTTATCCGTAAAGTTGTGAATAGTATAGGATTTTGTTGAACTCCAGGATTTTGGAAGCATCATAGTATGAAAGCAATGCTAAACGAGTTTGACTACTTTCAGAATTGGTCGACGAGAACGAGGGCTTAATGGGTGGCACATATGAGTCCAATGCGATGACGACGTTCTTGAAACCTGCGACTGATTAGCTTCTCTTTGATCCTCATTTTATAATCATTAAATCAGATGACACATCACTTTCTACATTTATCACCCATTCTCTCTTTTCGACTTCATCCATTGGTTTCATCACGAATATGCGGTTATCGCACTAGTGAATCATATTGTATCATATTGAATCATATTATTGCAAACTATCAATCACTTATTTTTCATGTTTTTATCACATACAAAGAATTTCTTCATAATGTTCTGAATCAAATCCTGCATTTGTTCAGACTGAACAGATTCATAATTATGCAGGTTTCATGTATATGGAGCATGCTCTGTACATAAAAACTTTTGACCTGGAAAGCAATTTTCAAGCTCATTATGTCGATATCGAGTTTAGATATCTCTACAAAGTTCTCTTTAGCGTTGAGGTAGCTTGATTCTCACGGTATAGTGACGACCAATAGATGCCTTAGCACTTAGGTTCCATTAGGCTGTATAACAGCGGCAGAAGATCTTTTAAAATTGGTAACATCTTCAGTTGAGGATGTCAACAAGCAATGAAGATGGATGGTTATTCCTTACACTTAACATTAATGAGACAATGTTGCCATTACCATAATAACGGTGATAAAGAAACGAGAGAATCTAAAGAAAAGCTGTGATGATTTGACTTCCATCTGTAGGCGAAATTAGTACAGACCGTCAAGAGTAGTAGATTGGTGATGAAAGTATCAGATTGTATGCAGCATTATCAATATGGGGCGTCGTGGCCGAGCGGTTGTGGTGCTCGTTACGATGCGCGTGGGACCGAAGTCCCCGCTTCAACACTCTCTGGCGGTTAAGAACAAACGCCCTACGCAACGCCACAGCCAGGCTATCTTCGAGTGCAGGAATACGAGCTCAACCAGTATTCTACGATGTTAAAGAAGAAGAGAAAAAAACGATTGAATGCTAGAAGTATTGGGATCCGCAGAATCAAAAATACTGTGAAGACGTAATACTCCGAAATTCTAGTATTTTTACTACTTTTTTCACAGTGTTACCATATTACAAATTTACCTGAGAGAATTGAGTGCTAAGTAAAAACACGGCCTCAGACGGGAATCGAACCCGCTCTTTATCCACACCGGGGATTCTCTTAGGTATATATGTAACTGTAAAGAACGATAATAAAGTGCCATTATTAGTGCATTCGTGACATCATGAGTTATGTGTGACCTATGTTGGCCGGGATTCATTTTGCCCTTCCAACATAGCTCTTTCGAGACCATGAGAATTGATTTCGATACATGAGCTCATGAAATTTTCTGAACCTTAACTTCATTTCGATGTGCTTTTTTCCTAGTATATTTCTCTGCCCAGAAATTTCTTGCCGTTTATTCTGCAAAATAATTGGTCAATGGCTTATCGACAGCAGACTTTATGCAGAGAATAGGCAATAGATAAGGGTTTTCATACCCAATGCTATACTTGCAAAAGGCATTTCTGAGCGGTGGAATAGAATGGATGAGTCAAAAGAACTTAAAAAAGACAGAAATGTCCCTTAACTGTAGCATGAAACCATGTGAATGAGTAATAGCGCTTCGATTAAATAATATAATAGTAGATAATAGACGAATTTTTCTGAATCATCACACGCGAGCATTAGATTGCAAAAAGGTATCCAAAATTATGCGACCCTACACAGAAGAACGGCGTATGCGTACTCTTTAGGTAGACAAAGTGAATAAACGATGCAACTAAGTAATAGAACCATAACCTAAAAAAGCCGGTGTGACGTTTTTTTGCAAGAGCGCAAGGACCGTATCTCTTGATTTCACTGCGTACTCCGATAGCACTCCAACGTGTTATCCGATGGAGATGTCACCTGAAATTGTCCATGATCGTGGAGTAATCATACCTCAGTTCGTATTGAGTTTTATCAACTAAAATAACAATCTATGCAATCCACAGATCATTGTCAACATGGAACACTTTGCTATCCACAATGGAAAATTTTTTATTTCCAAGAAAATTATTTTTAAAAAAATTTCTAGATTGTCTTTACGCAGGACTGAACATCCTCGATTTATTACGATAAAGCACGACAACCATCCAAAATCTCCTCAGACTTGTCTGGGAGGATAAGCAGCAATGACTGGATACAGCGGGAGGCCACGGCGAGTCATTGTATGGGCCAGATATGTATTCAATCACCTCGAACGAAGTTAAATATGAAGACGAATGCATGGCGCATCCCTCAGTGATTGATTAACGCTGAGAGCTGTATTTCTTATATTAACATCCCAAATAATCCAGCCGGTCTATATATATTGTATAAATATATTATATATTATGTATATGTATTTATTTATTTATTTGAATTTATTTACCTGTGGGATTTTTCGGGGTATCAAGCATATATAAGCACACCACCGATACGATGGCCAGATTCACGAACACGACTGACATTATATATATATGATTGGAGCAAAAGAACGCAGTCTATTTTGAAATACATCAGATTCTCAACTCCTCAGTTACATCAGATTGCCGAATACGCTGTAGCCGGCACAAAATCGACGTCATCACCTTTTTGACAATCTAACGAATATGGAATAAAACGAGTTTTTTTTCAAATATTCTACAGAACGTAGAAAAGTCTACAGGAACAGCATTAAGCGAACGGACTGAGCATTCCCAGGTGCACCACCACCATTTGGGCAACACTAGGTGTTCTCCATCTGTGTCTATAAAACTGAAATGAAACATCCTTTGCAATCACAATAAATTTTCCTTGTATCATATGTAATACTAATCGCTGCTATCAATTTACTGCAGCTAATTCTTTGTTGTTGTCAAACTAAGCTTTTGCAGAAAAAAAGCTAGCAGGCTGATTAGGAAAGATAGAACGAACTTTGATAGATAATATTACCAATGAACAGTTGAACATATAAAAGCTGTCAATACAGCAGTAGTACTTCTGTTTATACAGTTGTTTTAACAAGCTTCATTTCATCAAATCCTGTTTCATTTGGTATTCTACGTTAAGCCCTAAATATAAAAATATCCTAAAAATGTAAGTATAGTTGCTGAACAGTATGCGTTGAAGTGCTGACAACACCACTAGGTCACTCGCAAATGTTTTTGAAAAAAAATATTGCATAAAAACCAAAGCATTGATTTCTTCAGAGACTAAGGTTCGATTTTAACCGCATTTTCAAAGAAGCATATCTCAGCTCCGAGTAAATTTTGCTTTTCTAAATAAAGACCATTGAAGTCTACACGTTGTCACCAACGAAAAAAAAGTCTGTCTATAAAAGCTGCATCAATTTTCGAGTTTCTGAAGGCGGTAAGGTCATTGAAAACAGTTTCAGCTCCGGCCTGGATTCATTTTTCGTGCAGAAGGTCATCGAGATGCTTGAAAGTGTCCTGAAGACGGCACTGAAAGGTTTGGGTAGTATACTGGATGAGCTGGAGTTTCGTATCACGGCTCGTTCAACCCTTGAAGTATCGATAGTGCAATGTTTGCCCGCGCATTATGATGGAGAAGTGTTAGTTTTCTTTTTCTTGACAAAAGTGAAAGCAGACGACAAAATTTTCTATGCAAGTTGTCGGTTTACTAAATGTATTTTTTGGCGTAGTCTTTCAATGTGGATTCAGGAAGCCATGATGGATTAAACTAAGCGCAAAACGCCAAACCATCATTGTATTATTTTGGTACTATTTCGGCTATAAAATTGCCACAGAACTTCATCGCGATCGATCCCCTAAGCCGAGTGTCGCCGGTTTCTGTAGAGCTTTCATTTCTCATCGCATGTGTCAAAGTACAATTCAAAATTCCATTGTATTGGTTGCACAGAAAAAAGCATTGGCGATACTCTAATAGTGACTTCCTTAACAAAATTCAATTGGTAAAACATTCAGCTTTTTCCGAAGCTTCGAAACAACTAAGACGCTGACACCTAATTTTCTTCCTACTTCTCAAACATTGTGCATCTATTTATTCCCAATAATCTTTTTATTACATCGACTTAAATAACGAAAGGCGTAAGCAACCTCCGTGATCTTCTTCGCCGAACTCGTCGCGACAAATTTTATGTGAACCTTGCACTGTATATTCGTTAGCACTTCCTTAGCCCTACATCGAACTGCCCTTGGCATAAATTAACGCCTCAAAGATTCGCCATAAATTCGACTCGTTTGACCAGTGTACATGTTCGTAGTGTAAATGATGAGCCGGTAGTGCAACGGTTCAGCAGGTGCTCCTAGAAAGGTCGAGATCTGGGTTCGAGTCCCAGCAGACGCAGATGTTTTGCACGCCACTCTACATTACTGGGTTTATTAAAACATCATACAACCGCAACATTCGGGCAAATAAAATGAATTCTGATTGATCATGGTTGATGTTATTGAATGCAAATCTTGCCTGTAAAATCAATTATAGTGTTCATCGACCTGCTGAGTTTATATTTTCGCTCTTCACGCACTTTGACACCGAAATACGGAACTGGAATAGATGGAGTCTAGTTTGTTCAGGATGAGTGATCAGATAGGTGCCCACATTTGTTGTACAAGGCAAATCCAATCACTGTACTTTACATGCCCTTAGCATATGCATGTCGTATTTGTTGCCACCTTTTCTCACAATAATACCATTCTTGAGGGCTATCGTTTTCTATATAATTTGCATATAAAATCAAAACGAAGCTTTCATCGCATTATCTCTGTAATATCTTGGTTACTTCCACAGTTAATGGTCATATGCATCTTTTGTGTTGACTCCACAGTTAATAGTCATATGCTATATTACTTTATAATTTTTTGTATTGATTGGTGATCTTTTTGACGATATTCTCGCTGATGTTTTGTGGTAAATAGAACTTTTCTCCGCTTGTATTGCTTTCTTTTAGGCTTTGAGCTTTCTGAGAGATGTGTTCCACTCCTCCTTGGCTGATACAAGAAATGTACAGTAACATGAAAAGTGGAGAATATTCCCTATGGGGTAGAGAAAAGCTTCAATATCGCTAACTTTTTTTGAAACTATAGTTTATAGATTGTTAGAAAAATGAACAAAGTGATGGGTACTACGCTCTGTACCTCTGGTACAGTGGGCTGAAGCGTTGTTAGTTACTTCAAAACCTACACAGTGATGGTCTCTGTGGAGAGTTGTGGTCCCACCAACCGCAGCGCGTCGGAAAGATAATCTTATCATAAATGCTGCGAAGTTGAAAGAAGGCTTTCCTGAAAAACAGGTATATTCGAGTACACCAAAATTCATATTATTTGAAGGTCATTGCAATTTAAAAGCAAGCTTTGTCCAGCGAAATGAAGCGTAATCATTATAAAAGCGTGTAGCGTGTGTAAAAATAATTCTGCATACTTCGTTGCAAAAAACTTTTTTCTCAAACTATTGATAACCTCTGAATTACATGAATTTTGGTGAATAAAAATTATACATGCTTTCTAAAAAAGCCTTCTTATAACCCTATAGTGTTCATAGTAAGTTTATGATTCCCACGTGTCGAGCTTGACGGAACCACATCTCTCCTAAAAGAAATGAGTGGTGAGCAAAAATACGACATCAGACGGGAGTCAAATCCGCGTCCCATCCATATTGGAGACGCGTGCTACCGCTACACCAACGACACATTTGCGTCACCACTCATTCTTCAACATCTCTATATTAGTTATCAGCCACCAACTAACAGGTTTGATCCGGTATACGATTTCGCTCCATAAACCCAGTTGAGCTGACAACCATTGTGATATGTAATACTTATAAATTCTAATGTTATTGCATACCCGACCAAACATGTTGGAGGTTGGTGGCTGATAGCTAACATAGAGATGTTGAAGAATGAATGAGTAGTGGCGCAAATGTGCCTCGGTGTTGTCGTAGTAGCACGCGTCCTCGGTATGGATGTGACGCGGGTCTGACTCCCGTCTGATGTCGTATTTTTGCTCACCATTCAATTCTCTTAGGTGTATTGGAAGCATCTACCACTGTGAAGAATGCAGTCAAAACATTAGAATTTATAAGTATTCCATACCTTTCCATCACCGTCAGCGATGAAGTTAGTTGGTTGTTTATTGAGCATGTTCGCCAGAGGCCTATCTGAACGCTGAGGTTCTTATATTAAAGGTGTTTGTCTTGCGTAACTCAGTTTCAGATTGCAAAATTACCATCACCTACGATCACTCATTGTGTGCAATGATAGAAAATCCTGCGTTCAATACTTTTTAATCCTAAGAGATGGGCAGTGGACTACATGGAACATCGTGAAGGAGACTGAATGAGTATTTAGTTCATAAAGCAACTTATACGCGTCTACCAGGGTGCATCGAAATGTCAGTAGAGACCTGAGTAAAGATGTAGTCTGATATCAAAATCTCAAAAAGCCCTTTTATTCTTGAGCACTATGGCAGTGAATTGCTTCGCTTTGTGTATGAATTTGTAGCCTATCAATCGACATTGCATCCAGAGTGATCAGATTGATTTCTAGTGAGACCAATAAGAAAATATTTCTAAGCTAATGATCTCTATGAAAAAGACATTTTGCTTCAGTAGTTGCGAAAATTTTTCAATTCTTTCAAGAAGACAGTTTTCGATTGCCTTTCTGCTCGACCTCGATCACGAACCATCGATGGCATTGAATATCAGGTTTGTTAATGGTGAAATTTAAGTGCTTCTATAGAGCGACGCATTTGCCGTACCTCGCCCTCCGTGTTGAGCTGAGCGCAGCCACAAGTTCATAATGTCAGAACTGAATCAGTCGTCACAATTCATGTTAGATTCGTCTTATCCCTCAATTAGTTCGCCATCACATCCTTTTCATGTTCATATTCTGACAATGAAGCAAATAAAGGTGAAAAAGTACTGGCTGATGAAAGGCGCCGAGGGTAAAACAATGTTTCTAGCATTTTCCAGTATATTATAATGATAAGCAAATTTTATTCATGTATAAGCTAATTATTCTGTGCAGATTCCATTGTTGATAGCAATGATTCGTCATCACATATTTCCGGCGACGTGTCGTATTCATCATATTGAGCGATAATGAGCGTTCATTCACCTGCCATCACTCCAACCAGCTGCTCTGCCCGTTCCTAAAACAGGCCATCAGCTGTTCCTTAAGAACTAAATCTATCTACACACCTGTAAGGCTAGTTGTTATGTTTTATCCCTTAGGTACCACTGTTTCCATTCGTGACCAATTAGAACTGATTTACACCTAACCAACTCCATTTGAGCGCTAGAGTGCTCTACGGCACATTGATTGTAACTCTTTGAATCTTTTTTACAAATATTTTGAGCCCTTTTGAGCCGCATTCTCATTTGTGGACCCCACAATAAAACGCCGATTGTGACGAAAATAATTCTTAAAGTTTCACTAAATACTGATTTTGAAGCGAGTTGGCGAATGGACGGTACGTAAAAACGTTAGCCAGATTGCTGCTTGGGAAAATTATATTTCCACCTCAAGTCAGTTATCGTGGAGTTTCACAGGCAACAATTCATTCAAATGTCGAGGTTGATTGAAAGTTGATCTTCCGAGAGCCCTGCAAGAACTTACTAAAGTATTGTCAAAAAGATGATGTAGATAAATGTAATTAATAGATCAGTTTTGCGATTTCCTTGGTGTTAAAGTTTGCGTTAATGTTATATCTCTTCCTAGTTCTAATGAATTAGACGACGGACGATGTTCCACATAAAATCTAAGCGTAAAGACAATGTCACTTCAATCACTTATTTTCGATAAAACTCTGCCACATTATTTATCCGGGTATTCAAGCGTTGTAATACTGCAACGAGAAAGAATCGCCTCGCTACATGGAAACTCGTATGTTCCTCCAAACAAATTTATTGATTGAGCACCTTTTCTGTATTGACTCAGTGACAGGTTTTTAACAATCATTTCCACCAGGAAATCTTGCTGAAACTTTGAGTTTGAGGCAGATGGCATAAATCTGCATATCCGAGGTTTCATCACCATGAACGACTTTCTTATTCAAACATAGAACTGCTAGTCGGAATATTTTTGCCCTAAATAGGGATTCATCGAGAAAAGAGCTGAATTTTATCGACATGAGGATCCCTTCTTTTCAGTTGCTGCCGTGAAATGAAAATTTTGCAAGGCTCTGGAAAATGTCCTTGACTGAATAGTATGTTCGAACGTAGTCTTATAAAGATATCTCTTGTATGCTAAAATCTCTCAGATTATTAAAATTCTTTGGTGCCCCAAGTGTGATCGTGTCTTAATGGTTCAGTTTCTGTATTTCCTATCAGTTTCACGTCCAATTGCAGGTGTTCACAATGAAATCACTTTTTTACGTTGCTTTGCTCTCAGTTGCCAATGGCAAAACCATCGATAGGACGATAAGGGTACCTGACAATGATTCCACTTTGCACGTAAGTTCAGTGTGTGAGGCTAAAGAATGACTGCCATGAACATTCAATCTAGGAGTAAATCACACTTGAATTATACGAAATAGCGTTCTTACAGCTCGATACTGTTAGTTTATGAGAAGTCGTTTGAAGTCTACAATCTAGTTGGATCATGTATTTAGTTGAAAAATCTTCACAGTAATTTCAAAGTGCTCACAATAGTCTAAGTCAGCATTTGTCCCCCACTTTTCCACACGGCGACCAACCACTTACACTTCCAAATTGCTTAGTAGATATTTTTCACGGTGTAGTACAGTCACCAGTTTGTGTATATTGGATAATAATATATTCATCTAGCCATCAAAAAAGGGTTCATAAAGATAAAAAGACGTTGCCAATAGCAGACCATCGGTTAGGACCTTTTCTTTTACTCCTTTGTTGTCTATGCCAATCTGCATTGCGTCTTCGAGAGTAACAGCAAACAGTTGTGACAAGATGATATCCTCTTGAACTCATCTTCTTATGTCAATTTTTACATTGTAACAGCATGACTATGATTGGTCATGAAACCTTCAGCCGACCCAGAGCTTCCTTGACTCAATAAATCGAAAATTTTCCTTAATTCGACAAATGTGAAAGCACAGCGCTTTCTGCTAATCAGGTCTTATCTCATCTGGACCAAATGATCTTCATTTTTTCACCGATGAGGTTGCATGTTGGATTACGCAAGGAAAACCCGTTGGAACGACTATTCATTCATCTTGATTCTGAAATCAAAAGTATTTGGCTATTAAAGAGATCTAGAAATAATTCTTTCTAGTTTGAGTCAGAGTGTGATCATTTTGGTCTGGTACTTGGCGAGGATTCGGCGGGCGTTGCACTTGCTTCTGCTATACTGCAGCTTCAGTCATTTCTGATGC